TTTCTTGATACAACATCTTGTAATACACAGAATTTCCACAGTCACTTTAAACTTAACAACATTTATAACACACACTATAAGTCACAGTGATTCATACACTATACTTACGATGCCTACTATTCGCTTGACTCAATTATCTATCTCTTCAATCTATCTATATCTCTTCAATTGTGCTGGTTTTTCTCACCAGGCTTATATACTAAAAAAGAGGATGCTTCGAACAAACTAGAGTTGCCAGGAAAATTCATGATCCCTCGAGAAACTCCAGTGCGCATGCCGTAACACTGCCCCTTCCTTAGTATTGTTCATCCTGAACAATAGCCACTTACATTTAACCAATAGATAATTAACAATAACTTAATTAAATGTACAGAATTTACAAACACAAAATTAAAACATAACAAAGTCTCATAATTTTACAGGACATATCTTCTTCCATACTGGTCTCTGTCTCATTGGCTTCAGCTTCACGTAAGGTTCATCTGCTCCATCAGGAATTGTCCTATCATCAGTAATAGTCACATCAGTGGTAGTAACTTCATGAAGGGATTCACTGTTTCCCTTCTCAAAACCAAGTAGAGTTTCTTCTTCGACAGTGGCCTTTCCAGGTGACAAGTCTTCAGTGACATCTTTTGTTTTGTTGTTCACTTTATCCCAACTGAAATGTCCTGGACCGTGATAATGCCAAAGCCTGTTGGCATGCACCACCTTTGGCTTACCTCGCCGACCACATTTTATTCAGAAAGTCACGTTTGAGAGATGATCCACAATGTCATATGGGCCTTCCCATGGAGAAGACAACTTAGGAGACTTCCCTTTGGTCTCCATGGAATTATACAACCACACCTTGTCTCCTGGTACAAAGCTGACTTCAGTAGATCTCTTATCATAACATAACTTTATGGAATCAGCTGACGTTTTCAAGTTTGAACGCACTTGATGATGAATATCATCCATCCTTTCAGATAACACTTTCATGAACTCTGGCACATTTTCAGGCAACTCTTCGTAAGGTGGGTGTCCTGTTATCAGATCCACTGGCAACCGAAGTTCCCGACCAAACATCAACTTTGCTGGAATGTCTCCAGTGGTTTCATGCTCTGCTGTCCTATAGGCCATCAACAGTGGAGGGAGTAAGACTCCCAGTCATCTTGGTGGCTATTACAAAACTTTGCCAATTCCTGTCCCAGTGTCCAGTTGTACTTTTCTACCATCCCATCAGACTGTGGGTGAAGTGGCGTTGTCCTGGTCTTTCGGATGCCAAACAACTTGTAGCATTCTTGGAACACAGCTGATTCAAAGTTACGGCGTTGATCTGAATGCAGTTCATATGGCATACTGTTGTAAGCTGTCTTTTATAATTTAGACATTTGTATTGTTTTTCTCTACACAAAGTATTGATGCCACATGATGAACATGCGACTTAATTTCTGGAGTCTTCTTGAAAGTTTAGAAAACAATTTGAATAACATAAAACCCATGTTAAATAAGACTAGAGGAAGATGTTTTTTGATTATTTAATCAGTCAGTCAGTTAGTTCAGCACTGGAGATTTTGAGTGTGTGTTTTTAATGAAGTAACAGATATATACGAAGTACCATATTTATGAAAGAAGTTACAGAGTGACTGTTTAGCATTATGTGGCCTACATGTTAGTTACACAGAAAATTTATAAGTTGTATTTGTAGAACTTTAAATTAAAAAAATAAAACACTTTCATTATCATTAAGTAGGCAAACAATGAATTATTTTTTTAATAAGTAATACAAAAGAACCAGTCTAAGAATGAAACTTTTACAACATTACAAACAAACTTGTAAATAAAAACACACAATATTGTTTTATCTGCTCTGTTAAAGCAATTCCTTAATAGCAAGTGTTTTAGTTATTTTATGATTTACTGGTTGCTCAGCAATATTAATAGTGAAATGAATGCCATAAGAAAGTATAACATATATTAGCTAACCAAATCAGGTAATGGAGAAGTTCAGATCATGATAACACATGCTTTATTGAGAGAGAATTCGAATACTGAAACATCAGAGGAAAAATCCATGTTGCATATTATCATTGGAAAACAGACGTTACTGAATCAACAAGTCAGCAGGACATTTCTAAAGGTTAAGACAGGGTTGTTAAGGTTTGGATGAGATATTGATACCATGATGGGGCAGAGTTGAGGGGTGAAGGAATAAGAAAACTCAAGCAGATGCTATGCTAGAAAGATAGGTGCAGGCTGGAGGTCAAGCAGCCTAGCTTCTAAGCTCTCCTGGGAATTATAGATACTATACTAAGAAGGGTGCACCACATCTGAGAAATTAAAGAACAATAAGAATTAGTAAAATAGTTGAGCCAAGGTTAGAATCACACACTATAGATAAGGTGTTGGTTCTACTTGGAAAATTACCAACATCCTGACTGCCAGCTATAAAAACTGATGTTATGAATAGCAGTAGTGTGTTGGAAGTTTCAGGTCTCAAATGTTCAGTCCAGTTTGAGTCCACCATCTGATCCAGTATGTTTGCACTAAGCACCACAGAGAAATTCCACCACACCAGCTTCAGGTAAGCTAAATTGATGTTTTGCTTAGTCTAATGATGTAAATTCTCAAGTAGGTCTATAAAATCGTGAAGAATTGAAATAATTGAACAGTTGTTAAATGTCATAGAAATTCAAATGTGTATACTGGAGGAGTTATAAAAACACTATCCAATTATTGTAAATAAATTACATGGACTATATGTATATATATATATATATATATATATATATATATATATACTACTACTATATATATATATATATATATATATATATATATAGTATATGTAGTATATAATAATATATGTTTTACATCCTTTCAATGTACTGGTTGTATTCTTTGTTCTTTACATAAACCTCCTCAAGTTGGTGGTTTGTAAGCCTTACACATGACTGCATAAAAACATACTTGAGTAAGGAAGCACATTATGTTAATATAATAAATATTAGGCAAAACAACAATTTATAAGCATAAGGAAGAGTTTTATTGATGGTGGATTATACTACATTTCAACAGAACATTGGTTTGTTGAAACATGTAGTACGACATGAAAATACCACTACCATATCCATCATCTTAATAAATATCTTAATTCAGTTTTCAATTAGTTGAATAAAAAAAAATATCAATTTTGATTTAGTAAAACAATAATTTGAAGTATTTGTTTTGATTCAATGAAATGAAAATCCTAGATATTAAGGTACAGTTTGGTAAATTCCAAATTAATGTAACATTAACAGATAGCTACATTATTTAACTGGTTAGCAGCCTGTATGATCACCTAAGTCAAATGATTAATTTGCTACTTCTCTTTTACTAGATACCAATTACAATCTAGTTCTTATTCCATGCTTTGGTTTCTAACCTGTTGCTATCTTCATGGAAGTCCTCAGACAAACTGTTTCTGTGGTGGTAGTGGTTGGGATTTGATCCTGGGTCTTCTTGATATAGAGGCTGAAGTGGTATCTACTCATTTAGGTCTTCCCCATTAGGGTTGAATGAACTAGTTTATTGCATGCTTTCAGGAAGAGTATACAGGTTTTGCAACTTCTGCGTTAGGTTGGCTGAGTGAATTATCTGTTATGAATTATCTGTTTCTTTTATCTTTCTTTTTTTTCATGTGTGGTTCATATTTCATTATTTTAGCATTATTATATTTTACTGTATGGCCTTCTATGGCATGGTGGAATATTGCAGATAGGTAGTATTATAATAACTTGTATGTGTATTATTCTCCTGAATTTTTTGGTCCTTTTGTTCCTCCAACCTCTCGGAGTTCACACTCACAAAATATGATGCATCTACTCTCCATTAAATCATTGAAGGGTACTGACCACAGAAATCAGCAAAACCTGGATGCCCCTCTTGAAAACATTTAGATAAATAAGTTTATTCAAGTCCTACTAGAAAAGATCTAATGTTAACATTGGTCATTTTAAATCACTATGTAGTACCGTAACATGTAGCTTACACAGTTTGGTAACTATCAGTATACCTATAAAAAAACATGAGCTTACAAGAAGAGTTATCATCTGCCCTTTCTTCTTCTTCTGCTTCATCCACATTTTCTTTTTCTTGCTCTTCTATAAACTAGAAGGTAAACCAAAGATTAGAGAGAAGAAAAAAAAAAGACTTAAGCAAACCAAACATATCAAAATAGCTAAGCAATTCTCAATATGTCAGAAAATTCAAGTTTCAGCCACATTTGGTAATCCTAATTTTTGGTCTTTACGAGATTTTGAGAAGAATACATTTTTCCATAAGATAAAACATGTTTACCCATAAATTTGTTTTTAAACAAATATATATGTTGATTAAACTATTGAAATATTTGACATTTAAGACAGAACTTAAACAAAAAGGCATGTTCTTACATGACACACAACTTTCTAAAAATGTTGGGCAACTCAATCTACTAAACTTTTTCACACAAACAAACACTGGTTACAGAAATAAATCCTGTCATCTTTAAATGGAGGTAACTTTCAATTCGAATTTTTATCAACATATAGTCTTTTCTAAACTTTCACTTTCTAGATATGTCTGCAGTTTATTTTCTGTGGATTCAATCATGACTGATTTGTATCTAATTTTTTAAGATGGGGCTAAATTGTGTGAACGTTATATTTCTGCTATTTTAAACCACTACAAAAATAAATAAATCTCCTATTTTTAAGTGAAAACATATTTTTGTTTACCAATCTTCTTTTAGCCTTCTGTGCTTTTTTTCTTTTAACTTCGTCCCAATACAAGTCATAAAAAACTGAGCTTTGAGGAATTTTATTTTGATTTCGTGGAAACTTGGATGAATATGGAAAATCTGAAACAAGTTAAAGGTAATATATTTGAAAGTCTTAAGATATTTTCAAGAAACTCTCATTCAAAGGTTAAAATCTGGAATCCATACAGATGCAAAATATGTGGAAGAAAATATAAGATTTTGGTCTAGGAGTTACTACTGTCTAATTATAAAAAAAAGGTAAGATTTTATAATGTAAAATTTTTTGGTAGAATCAAAATATTGTGAAACAAATTTTCCTGAATTAAGTTTCTGCACAACAAACTTCCTCCATGTACATTTTACACATACTTTTTGTAAGCAAAAAACCATACAAAACACATTTTAAGAACTACAGAAGTGAACTGTGGTTTAAAGAAACAAAAATATCATGGAAAAGTTATCAAATTACACCTTTCTAATTGAAATAGCATTTTAATTAACAATTTTTTAGTTTTTTTTACATAAATGATAACAAACTTGTCATATTTTTGTTTCTGTTCTAAATTACTCAGTATTACCTTTTACAAACAATTGAACAAGAAAAACAACAAAATAATAAAAATAATTTTTGTTCTCACAGTGTTAGAAATGGGCACAGAAACCGTTATAAGTTCAAAATAGCTTCCCAGAAGAGTATTGAGAGTAGGTCTCAGTCTAGGTATTACACTAGTTTCTTAAATGCAAAAAAACCTAAGATCCATCAACAACATTCTGCTCATTCCAATGACAACAAAGTGTGCTAACCAACTGAAGTATGACTTCTTGTATTTTTAAAATTGAGTTTAGTGTGTGGCTCTTGTTTGTTTACTGTTGATCTGCCCAACATCCATAAAAGATCACTGTTTTCGTGTCTTGGTCAGTGAGCAGCACTTCAAACATTACTGGCAGTGTAAACCATAGTGATATAAAAACTGAAACAAACTTTGAGGAAAAATTATTATGATAGAAAGCTACCAATGAACTTCTAAGATTTGATTATTTTACTTATTTAAGTATTGAACAATTTATGTATAAAATGAAGTTCATCATTTATACAAATGCCACACTTTTTCATGTATTATGTCTTTTCTTTCATTAGGATATGAAACAACTTATGGAACTGTGGTGCATCCTTTTTTTTCTTTTTCTTTTTATATATATTTCAAACATGAGACCTCTTGCACAACAGGTGAGTGTCCTACCTACTTAACTAAATGGTTAACCCCTTAGTACTTGCTATTAAAGCAATTTTTTAACAACTCAAACTACCACATTCTTCCCCTCTCACAAACAAGGCCTGTTCCCAGAACTTATCTCAAGATTGCAGAATGGTCAGTTTTTCTTGTAGTAATTTCAATTTTCTTGAACCTCACGCATGATACCAGCCTCCCAAATAGTAATTTAAAATTGAAATTTTCATACTGAAAAACTGGTGTCCAACTACTGACCATATCATGACCTTGATATAAGGTCCAAGAATGAGTCTTGTTTGTAAAAGTGGAAGAATGTTGTAATTTGAGTTGTTAAAAAGTGCCTCATTAGCAAGCATACACTAGGGGTTAACTCTTTAGCTCAGAAGATAGAGCACGTACCTGTTGAGTGAAAGGTCTCAGCTTTAAATCCAAGTCGAGGACATAATAAAATTAAAATTACTACAGAATGACAGATAATATAAATTCCAAAAACTTTTAGTTACAAGTGATCAGTTTAATAATATGGTTTCATTATTCATTATGTTGTTACTCTAAAACGGAAAATTAACACTTTCTAATCCAAAAATTATATATTTCAGCATAAAGTCTACTTAAAACTTTGAAAACTTGATTAAAATTATGTAAGCTATGAACAACCTTACTTGCTTCTGTACAGAAATGAGATACAGGAAGGATTGATGTGTCTTTGTTTTTCACTCTTTTTCGTTTTCTCTTCTTCTTGTTAACTTGAATGTTTTGTTGGATGTTCTTTGGAACTCTATTAGTTTCACCCCTCTTCAAAATTCTTTGCAGTTTAGGAGTATATTCATGTGGATCAAGAGATTTCCAAGGGTCTATCTAGAAACAAACATTTCTTAATGTCAAATAAAGAAAACAACAATCACAACATTTAAACTATAACCATACATTTTGATAAAGTAACTATAACAGCTACAAGAATGAGAATATTTTGTATTAGAAAATGTTTGACGTCTTTAGGAATCAAAGCACTCTTATTCCATGGAAAAATATACAATATGAATCAAAGTTAAATATTATTAAAGAATCACATGACTTGAAAAGCTTTATATTTCTCTTATATATGCTTCCCTGTTTTTAGCTCATCAACAACAGACATTGTAACACAAGTCTAATGTTTTTTTTTACTGCATTTACACATCACTTTAAGATACCCTTTTCAAACTTTAGGGTGAGCATAAAAAATTTCCATGTTTTAACACATTTTAGTAGCACTATGAATTTTGACTAATCACAAAAATTAAACAAAATGATGTCAAATTATTTTAAAATATTAATTTTTTCTCTTGTAAACCAGTACCATATAAAAATAATTAAAAATATAAACAAAAAATGAATGTAAAAATTACACAATTTGACAATTATAAAAATTTCAATCAAACAATATTATATCATATATGATTATAAAATGTGAATTTTAATCTTGCAAACACCAGTATCATATAATTTTTACTTACAGGTTGAGGTGTGCACAATGTATGGTTCTCGTTTAATTTTCTCTGTCGCAACCTTCTGGGAGTTGAACTCTCAGTTTCTGAAGGTGGAGGAGGGGATGGTATTGGTGAAGATGGAATTTCTAATAGATCTGGATCAAATTATTGACCCATACAATAAAAAGAAGATATATTCAAATTCTGTTATCTCATATGACACAAATATTATACTAAAATCTTGTCAAAACAAACATCTCTCTAAAAGTATTAATTCAAATCTATAAGATATATATATATATATATATAGATATAAAAATGAGGAATGAACTTGACAAATTAATGGGTATAAAATTTCTAAGAAAATTAAAAAAAAACATAAATTTATATATTTAACATTAAACAAACGAGTTCTTAAATCAGGAATGAACCTGACAAGTTAATCGGTACAACTTATCAGTAACCTACTAGACCCATAACACATTTTACACCTCTGCATGAAAAAAAATACAGGGCTTTAGCAATGCTAAAATGTTTGAAATGTTATACTATTTTAATATACCCAAGTTTAACAAAAGGGCAAATTCTGAGCCAGAATAGTCCAAACTTTCTATCATTTTTTGAAGGAAACATACTAGGACTACCAGCACAGTTAGAATAAAAACTAAGTTAATAGTAGGGTAGTAAGAATGGTAAAAAATTACAAAACAAGTTGTAATCAGTACAAAATATGTCAATATTCAACCAATTAATGTATGGCTCATTATTAGATACATTTTACTTACTTTTTCCATCAGTTAGGGTGACATGAACAACTGATCCAATCTAAGGTATACCAAATTTTGTTTATCAAATTTAACTAACAAAGAGATCAATATCTTTCATCTAGCTCTTGGGTTAAAACACAAAGTACTGGTTATAGAATGAAATCTGATTATCACTATAATCTGAAATAATTATCTTTAAACAACCATAATTAACTAAAACTAAATATGAAGCCCAATATTTCATTTGATCACCACATGAGTCACTAAATTATACTGATTTTGGGGAATTCCACTCCTCATCAGTAACCCTGGACAATTAAGGGAAAATTGTGAGAATAGATGACGCTTCTTATAGTCGTGTAGTGTATAAGTATGGTGTTTTACTTACCACAGTGAACATATATTTATACAGGAATAATTCAGAAAAATAAATTAATAGCATCAATGGTTTAAAATCTTTCTATATAAATATAGGGTCATTGTGGCAACTAAAAGACAACTAAAAACACCATACACAACGTTTTAGACACCAAAAGTAGAGCTATTTTGTAAAAATACAGTAAGCAAGTAAAAAAGTTGGAAAAGTAGGGCTGCTGGGAGGCCTAAATATCTTATTTATTTTAATCTGTTCCTTTATGAAATCAAAAAAAATTGAAAACTATTACCTATCTCATTGTAAGTATCTGTTCCTCGAGCATCCTTCTCTCTCTCTACGTTAATTTCATGGCACTGACTGGTTCTGGAAGTGTGAAGCATAACAGTTACTGGTTGTCTGTTAAGATCACTTGTATAACACGTACTATGCAGAAGTAGGGCTCCTGATGGATCCAAGCGACAAATATTGACTCTAAAGTCATGCTTGTTTCCAAGATCTTCTCCCTTATGGCTGTAAAATAATTTAGTACACTGAGATTCCTGCCCATCTAGATATATATAATAGCTAAAAGTCTGTCTGTTATGCTGTGTATCTCCTGAATAGTGAATCGTAGAAAGTAAAAAAAATACATATCATAATGCATTTTTTCAAGAGCATATTACAGGAAAATTATTAATTTTTGCATTTCCAAAAATTTCATGTCAATATCAACATCAATATGTCAGTCTTCATATGTGCTAAACAGTCAATCTGAGAAAAAAAAACTTATTAAAAATAAAAATGTTTTTTTTTTAAGGGAATTTCACCAAAAAATGAAACTTCCTCTATCGACTGATTGAAAGAAATATTTTGAAGATAGGAGCATAAACAGAAAGAAAACAAAGAAAGATGAAAATGTTTGAATATATATTTGTTGTTGTTTGGTTTGTTTGTTTTTTCCGTGTCAGTATTACACACATGCATGATTTTATTGTACCATGTCAAATAAGTTGAGAAACATTTTTGCCAATAATGCATTGCAGTAAGTCTCCTTTACTTACAAACAAACCCAATACAATTCTCCTTATTGAAATAACACTTGGAAAGACAAAAGACGATTGTAAACAGCCCACTACACAATCATTTTGCATATATGTTCTGATCCAAGGGATTGGGTTGACTGCACATTTTACATTAATAATGGCTGGAGATGGCTTGAATGGGTAATGAAGAAAAACTTTAATATTATTTTATCAGGTACCTGATGATGACAAAACTTTGTCAAAACGTTGTACATTTGCTGTTATATTAAACTTATATTAAAGGTTTTCTTCATTACCTATTCAAGCCATCTCCAGCCATTATTAGTCTCAAAGTGGGTTCTTCGTCATCGAACATTTTACATTAGTTCATCACTATTTTTAGGAAAATTAGCAATGAATTGTTTCAAAGGGTAACTACTAGTAACGATACAATTTGTTAAAATATTTTTTTACATAATTTTACTTACTTGTATAATGTAACACTTCCTTTCTCTGATTCTTCTAAAGGAATTAGAGAAGTAGGGATACGTGGTAAAAATTTTATCCCTGATCTTTTTCTATTGCTATTTGAAGTTTCTTCAACAAGATCAAGATTTGTTTGCTCTCTCAAGTCATCCAAGGCTATAAACTTTCATAAAAAGACAGACTTGTTATTGTTCAAATCAAAAGTATTCAACAGTAGTTTTATTATTTTTGTATTATTTTGTAAAATGTGCATACAATTACAACTCTTTTCACTTAACCTTCAATAGAAAGTTTCCTGTTTTAAAGTCAAGATAGTTTTACAAAATCACTGTAGGGATCACAAATAAGTGTTAGCATTATATGTCCTCAAGCTTACCTTGGGGCATGAAATTAGTATTGGGTAAAATGTCAATTTATGATATCTTCAGGCCTCCCAGCAGTGTCTGCTGTTGCTAGCCTTTAAAATAAAGGCTAAATTTGACAAATTAAAGGCTGAAATTGACAGAAACACTGGCTATTTTTAGCAAAATTTCTCTTATCAAGATGCTATATTAAGTCCTATAGAATCAAATATGGGTACATATTTCAAACATAGTTGTTTCCCATCTTCTATTTATCAATTCAGGATAATCTTTCTTACCTTATAACAGAGAATATTAATAATACCAGAACTCATTCTCTGAGCTCCCATACATGATGTCTCTGAAACAGCCATTCATAGATTCTTCTATTTCACTTAATTTGTAAAACACAAGAAGCATAAATATCAATCCCTCAGATGATTTCATTGGGGACAGCCTTACAAGTGAACTGTAGAGTTGTATGTAGTTACCTTTAGTGTATACTAAAGTCTTCCTTCCACACTGCATGTGTCACTGGCCACAATGAGTGTCTTCTTCTGGGCACATGTATGACAGCTATAAGTAAGAGCTTAATTTTACCTTTTAAAGGAAGAGCAAAAAATTATTCTTCTGTAAATAAAATTTTTTTTTTACTAGACTAAAGCATTAAAAAACAAGTTTTTATGGAGTATTACAAGTTCTTTGAGCAATCATTTAAGTTTCAAAGATTAAGCTTCTGAAAAACAGATTTAACAGATTTTAAGGTTTTACTGCTGGGAGGCCTGCATCTTATGGTGAACATTTTATAATAGAAACCAAAAAATAAATACACTAATACTGAGGTCTAAAATCACAATACTTACTAACTAGCATGGGAATTCTTCAGCTCTCACAAACTTCTGCAACCAAAACCAACCACTAGACAACATATGAAATTATCTATGATTATTTTTTGCAAATAATTATAAGTTAATTTAGTCGCTGCAAATTTGCATTCATTTTTAAATACTTTTAACTACAGAGTGGTAAATTAAATTCGTTTTCATGTGTGTTGATTCTTTTACATATGCATGTGTGTGTGTGTGTATTACTAAAATCAATGAGTATTCCACCCGTTTTCATATCTCCATCATTCAGTTTTTTGCTTCCAGGTTGCAACAAATTTCACACCAATTCATACAAGTAACATGTCCAAAAGGCATTTTCTTCATACATCATTATAATTAGAATGGACATTAGTTAAACAACATGCTGACATTTTATCATCCACTAACTACATTTACATAGAAACTCTGTCAGATTCACATCCCTGACCTCACTGTTACCTTTACTAATATTAACAAATCAAAGGCAATTACCATGACAGTGTTGCCTGTCTCTCAACTTACACTGAATTTATAAAACAACCACCACAACAATAAACAAAATGAAAAACATGAAACTAGAAACAGAGATAAATGTGGGTCGAGTCAGTATTTAAGTTTTGAATCAAAATTAAATAAAAACAAGTTACATTTCAATTATTTTACTTTGTAATCTAATCCAAAAATTATACAGTGCTCCAGATAAAATGCTATATAAAATCCATCACATTTAATTTTAGATAAAAAATGCTTTAGAAATAAAATGTGCACCTACCAACTATGCAAATTACTTCCCAAAACATATATCATTCAAATACATTTGCATATTCACCAGTTTGAAAGAAACAAAAACCTGTGGCAGTTGTAAAACAAACACAAATCATGGGAGATATTTCACCCTATAAACCAATCAACGAGTTATAAAGAAATATGTAAGATTTAATGTCCTTTCCATCAAATCTTATAAACTGTTTGCATTCAATCACTATATGAAGACTTACTTTACCTCTTTGGTTTGCTCTCCCAATCACCACTGAAGAGCTATAATTAAAAAAAATATATACTACAGTGCAGAGTTAATTATGATTTGTATAATAGAATAGGCCTCTAATTTATAGATTTTTTCTTTCTTCACAGAAATTAGTTTTAATGAGGAAAAACAAATTCATGAACTATACAGTAATTTCATGCTGGCAATTATCTGTAGTTCAAGGTTACTATTCAACTGAAATCTCAATCAGTCTATGATGGAGTTTTCAGTTGAATAGTAACCCTGAACTACAAGTAATTGCCAGCCTGAAATTACTGTATAGTTCATGAATTTGTTTAAAGTGTTTACTGTATTGAATTTATGCTGTAATTACTCTTGAGCGATCTTTAATAGGGAAATAATACAAAAATAAAGAGAACAAAAACATATCAAAACTGACCAAACTGATGGGTGTTGGATAAAGAAAATATTCACTGAAATCCAAAAATATGCAAATTTTCATTTTCAGCAATGCAGTTTGTTTTGAAAAGTGAAATGCTTAAAAGCTTATCTGGAGCACTGATTAAATAAATTGAAACAATGTGTTTCCAAAGTACAAAGCTATTCATCATTGTGTACAATGAAATAAAAGAACTTAAAAATGAAATATGAGAAGTAAGGAGCACTTAACCTCTCATACTTTATTTTTAATTGTTCATATTAATATTTCATTTTCCTCTTGTCAATTGTTTGTGAGGTAAAAACAATAACAAAGTCTTGATCTACTTGTTTTTTATTTCGAAGAATCTCCAGTTTTAAAATGGGCAATGAGATAAATATCAAATCAATGGTCTTTGTTAAGGGCAAGTTAAAGTGTTGAAAACTGAGATTTATAGCTGGAGCCAAATAAGCCACCACAAAATATTTATCCATTTTATTAGGTAAAGGTCTTACATATGTCAATACATACATAATCATTAAAAATTCCATGGAATACAAAAAAAAGTTAAAATCTTTCTTAGCTAAACCATTTGATTTCAGTAACCTTTACACAAACCTACCCTTACAAGAAATCAGTGTAAACATAAGTCTGCAATTAAAAGATCTTTTTACAATGTTGGTAAGTTAATGACTTGCACAGGTGATACTAAAAGTTTGTATGATAACACTCATCATAAGAACTATGACTGTTTTACACTGCACATTATCTACAAGCCACATTATCACCCACATTATGCTGTAGTGGATTGAAAAGGGTTGCAACTACCATTTTTAAACTGTGTGGTAAGTACAAATAGTTTTAATAAAATGTACAGTACTAAATATTTCACTACTTTTCATACAATCATCTTCAATAAAAATATTTTGAAAATCGATCTTATAAATTAGCATAACAGCTACTGATTACACATAGTTTTCTTTACATAACCTACTGCCAACTTAACAATTACACCTTCCAAAGTTCTCATTTTATTTAACTCTAACATAAGTTATGCTGAGTAACTTGTTTTTCACAGTGTGGTAGTTGGCTCAATGTAAATCACACAATTAGCAAGGTCATTATTGAATATCAGTAACAGGCTGAATTCCCATCATATGACAGGAAATAATGATAAATTTTTCATCACAAAATTGTATCTAAATAAATGTTTTATGAACATTTTTTCTAAAATTAATTATAATCTAGTAACAATATATGTATGGAGAATGACTATTCTATTTCTAGTATTTCACAAAAGTTATAAATTTCCTATACTGAAAATGTACTTCTGACAGGTACTTACCTCCTCTCTCATAAATAGCTATTCTGGGTCAGTGCTGCCCTCTATATGCAAAAACTTTTTTGCCACATGCCCCAAGCCTTGAATTTCCCATTCATATGGAATTGACTGATTACCATGCTTCTCAATCCTCCACCAATAAGTGTGTGACATACTCTCTTGACACAATGGACTCCCTCTATTCAATTCTACCAAATCATTACTTTGAGTTTTGGAAACACCAGTTTTCAGTGGGGATGAAGGATGGGAAGTGTGAGCGGAAGTAAGTACCTATCGGAAATACATTTTCAGTGTAGGAATATTATAACTTCCAATATGGTAAATTACCTCTTCTCACATAAATAGCTGGAATCCCACATTGAATAAGTGAAGGGATCGGTGTAAGGGAAGAAAAGAAGCATCCTTTGAAAACATCGAAGGACACTCCCCAAGAGGAGATCTTCAGAATTGAAGAACAGTTGTGGAATACCACAACACTTCTGAACCAGGTATGCCCTTTGCTCATCATGGAAAGATGTTGCATGTGTGGGCAGAAAAATAGAGGAGCACATCCAAATGGGAGAGAAATATGGCTGGATAAGGATCCAAACCATACAATATTTATGAAACTCAATCCCAGCAAAAAATATAAAAGTGGGTAAGATTAAAAGGATGTGCCCCTACGTGTAGAGTGGCTAGGGCACGACAGATCATACATGGCAAATCAACTATATCCAAAAACCCATGCTGCTGGGAACCGACATCCACACAGGGGTAGGATAAGGATCATACCATCAGTAAGTCAACTACAATTCAAAACCCAGGCCACCAGGAACCAACATCCATGTGGGGGTAGGAAAGAGGATCATACCAGTGGCAAGTCAACAACAGTCCAAACCCCACCCATCTGGTGGAGGTAGGAAAGAGGATCATACCATCTTCACCTCAAGTTCATGAGACTGGAGGGAATCTCATACCCCCCGACCCATGAAAGGGGCACATGATAATGTGAGAAATTTATTGATTTATCCAGGAACCCAACATATGGCATTGAAAATATGTCTGTGTAATGTAAACCATCTCACTCAAATTTGTACTTGACAAGAACCGCCCCAAGCACAGTAACATCCTTGGAATAGTGGAAGAGGAAGGACCATAGTAATCTGCAAGTACCTCCACCGTGACCCACAACATGAATGGAGTAACAAGAGTATAAATGAGTGAGGGGA